AGGGAAGGGAAGGGAAGGGAAGGGAAGGGAAGGGAAGGGAAGGGAAGGGAAGGGAAGGTATATGAGCCTATCTCTCTCTCACTCCCCCATCCACTTACCCATTTCACCATTATTGGAATGGCAACTGCAGACTTTTGGGTAGTAAACAACTCACCATGTCTTCAGAAGAATTCATAAGGAAGGTCTCTCCATATGGAGAAATGGGGGGTGGCTTTTCTTCAGCTACATCTCCTGGAAAAAGAAAACAGACAGACATGCACACTGTATCACACAGTATCTCCTACACATGGTCCCTTGTGACTGAATATCAGTTCTGACCTGCAGAAAAATCCTGGGTTGGACTTGCCTTGATGCACCATCTCAATTCAATTTGTGACATTCATTCATACTAGTCAACAAAACAATATTTCTGACTTGGTGAACCCCATTGTGTTTGTATACCAAAGGAACAAGTAAATCACTGCACTGTTGCAGATACAGCAAGAATAGTGCTCCATTCAAATATAGATTTTTGCAATATCCTAAAGTTAGCATGTTCTGAGAAGAAGAAACTGCATTTATTAATTTGACTTTGAGGCAAGGTTTAGTATTTTGGGATGACCATAGTCTTTTGAACTATATACCTGAACTATATGAAACTGATGGCTGGGAAACAGAAATGGATTTCCTACACCTTTCTTACTTCTATGAGACTAGTCCTTCGATGTTGACAAGATAAATCTACGGCCCCAATTGCTCAGTAGACTGTAGATCTGGTGTTACTTGCAACATATAAATGAGTTGCTTATAGACATAGATTATTTATGGATGATTTACAGTGAAATATGGTAATCCTTTATTGAAACTGCCATGTGAAATTTTATATCCTTATATTCATGCAGGAGAAGATCTTATATACTGATAATGTATGTTGTTGTTTTATTCTTTTCTTTTTTGCTCTTTTAATTTTTTCTTCTCTTTTGTTAAAGAAAGGTTAAAAAAAATTTAAAATCCACACATCAACGCTTGAAGTTGCAAGTAAAACAAAGTGATGATCCTGAATGCATGCAAGCAACATGTCAGATTTCAGGTTAGCAGGCAAAGCTGTTGAAACTTGCCCTTGCTTTTTAATTAGGTGAACTAAACACCCAGCAAGCTACTACAGCATGTACTTATTCAGATCAGTCTTCCAACTTTACCCACAACTTTCTGTCCATGTTCGCAATGCAAAAAATTTAACTCTTGTACTGATCCCATTTATGGAGGACAAGAGTTCCTCAAAGAAGAGGGAGAGATTTTGCCCAAAGTCCCCTATTCCTATGTTAGCTGAAAACATTAATGCCAATAAAAAGGTAGAATCTCCTTCACATGAAGGTCAATTCTGGCTAACACCTCTTAGCAACAATATGGAAGTTGCTAAGAGGATGCATTTACTCTGTCAAGCTAGACTAGTGTGATTTCTTGCTAGTCCTCATTCCAAGTACTAGCCAGGTCTGAACCTGCTTAGCTTTCTTTGAAATCAGCCCAGGCCAGTTGCTGTAGACTCTCTATAATCACGATATTAACACACCTCAAGCAACAGCCCACCTTAAGACTTCTGCAATTTATTAAATTTGAATTCAGTAACTGCCTTCTTGAAACTGCAGCTCTTTATACAATACAGTGCATTTTTCTACTACATTCTAAAGCAGGGTTTCTCAACCTCAGTAACTTTAAGATGTGTGGAATGCATGGGTAGAAAAGCCTCTACAATTATTTCAGCCAATCACCTAATTTTCACCACAAAGTTGACTCTTTTCCTCTCAATCATCAAGTGAGGAAGATGGTTGCATTAGAAAGCTACCAGCCATTATTTTTTTTCAGACCCTCCCTCAAAAGTTTCAAATATACAAAGTAAACAATTCCAAAAGGATATCCAAGTCTTTTAAAAAGGAAAATAAAAATAATCCTACCACCTCCAAAGCGGTCTCATAGTTTCCAAAGCGTGAAAGAGGAGAAAGAGACAGGAAAGTCTTTTGTGGTTTTCGCAGCCAACAGCAAGGCTATTTGACGGAGTACAAAATGCGTCTAAACACGTGTGATCACACCTTAAGCCAAAAGTTCACTCAAGAAGCTGAGCCGTTCCATTTATCAGCCCTCACAAAACTAAGTGGAGCACTATTACTTTTTCTTAATCCTCTTCTCTCTGATGGAACATCAGGAAGGAGTTTAATTAATGGTACAGCCAGAATGCAACAAATAAGGAGTTGCATGGCACAGCAGTTTTGAAACCAGATCGAGCACCTCTGTCTAAACTGGTGCCTTCCAGGTATATCAACTGCTACAGCCTATGTTGTCAAGGAACGGGAGATATTTGGAAGGCTTCAAGTTTGGAAGAAGGCTCAACTAGAGGATCAGAAAAAGTCTGGCATGAGCACAGCAACTGGGGAGAAGGTGCTAGGTAAAAGAAAAAGCTGTGTGTGGTGAGAGAGTAGAAGATAATGCCCAACAGGCAATAGTCATAAGACAGAAGCTTCTCCATCTTGGCAGTCGATTCAATTGAGGCATTGGCTGTATGGAATGCTTGGAATTGGTCCTGATGGCATCACTGCCTCTAAATTCCACCACTGCTGGAAGCTTTGAAAGACCAGATGAGTCTCCTAAGTCAGTAACTCACTTTTACAAGAAATCAAAGAAAGTTTATGGAATTGACCTGTTTACTGTACCTGAATTTTGGAACAAGGAGCTTGAAGGTTCTGTTTTTGTCACCTTACAGAATAGGAAATTAATTTCTTCTGACCTTAAAATCAAGCTAATATAACAGAAAATTATATTCGATGGATTCTGGACCCCAGAAAGAATGCTTTAAAAGGAGGAGATGCAATTGCCTTGCTGCTGATTTAGAAAGAGGAACATTAACTCTCATGATCTGCACTTGTCCTGATTTTGTCATATTTGAGATTCAACTCTGTAGCATTGTTAATATGACTTTAGACTGATCACTGCTAGTTAAGGATGCATATGTTCTGCTTGGCTATATCTCTAGCATTTGAACTCTATTAAGATATCAAACTCTGTAGATTTTTCATGCCACAGGGTTGGCCAAAAATTATATAATATTCAAAGTATATATTTATGCATGACCTAAAGCAGCGGATTGCTGATATGTGAGAACTGTCAATATTTGAATTAGGGGTGAGAATTTCTTTTCTACAAAGGGACAAGAAAGAGGAATTTCAAGCAATCTGAATTCTTTTATTCATGCAATAAATCTGTTGTCCATTTCTTCTTCTTTCTTCTTTCTTCTTTGATAAATTTCACTGTTAGGTTATTTTGTTAATTTTATTCAGGCATACAATTTCCCCCTTCTTTTTTCACTGTAATAACTTCCTATGAGAAACTCTGAGTTTTAATTGAGAAAACTGACTTTTATCTTTAAAAATACTAGTTAATATGGATTGGGATTTTTTTGTGGTTTTTTTTTTAGAAAAGGAATGTGCTGGCTTTTAAGAGAGATTATTATTACTGCTGGGGTGGATACTCTGTTTGATTCTGATTATTTAATGAGCTGCTTTCAATCTGAAGGCAAGGAAGTCTACTCATTGCTTCTCACTGTCCACCCAGAATCATCTGAAAACTGGATCTGTTGCCATTGTGTATATTTAGAAGGCCATACTGTAGGTACACTTAAAAAGCAAACTTTTTCAAAGAAGGCCATTTCAACACGCTGGGCTAAGAAACCAACAATGTAAGTGGTTTTGCAAAATGTGATATGGATTTATCACCTGGAACACGTAAGCAATCCACAAATCCTGTTTCATAGTAAAGCAAAATGTACACATCTCCTCCACAAGAAAATGCATTAGCATTCCAATAACGGGAGTACAGTGGTACCTCGGTTCACAAACGCTTCTGTTTACGAACAATTCGGTTCACGAACAGCTCCGTTCGCAAAATTTTGCCTCCGTTCACAAACGCCGGATCGGGTGACGAACAGGATCCACGGCCATTTTCCCTGCCCTGACACGTGGTTGCAGCTTCCTTGGGGGGGGGACTCTCCCTCCAAGCAATATCTGCCTCCCCACCTGGCCTCTTGTCCTCCATGCCAGAAGTCGCGTCGAGCAAGGTTAGCATTCTCTCTCT